GGGGACAGGGTTAGTGTGAGGAGGTGGGCTTCCTGGAGGAGGTGAGACTTAAGGGTATGTGTTAGGCGGAGGAGGTGGAGGAGGGAGGCTTGGCTTGCGGACGGGGCGGGACAGGAGACAGAAGGCCCCTGTGGTTGCAGAATGGAGGTGGGGAGATGTGGAGGTGATGAGGCTGGCCAGCTCCTGTAGGATGAGGAAGGAAGGAGTGGACTTGGAGGGAAAGGGTGAGAGGTGCAGGAGGCCACTGGGTTCATCCCTTCTCATGAAGAGCGATGGTTTGGCCTGGTGTGGTGGCTCATGCCTGTAATCCCAGCAGTCTGGGAAGCCAGGGCGGTAGGATCACCTGAGGTCAAGAGTTCGAGACCAGCCTGACTAACATGTAGAAACCCTGTCTCTATTAAAAATACAAAATTAGCCGGGCATGGTGGTGCATGCGTGTAGTCCCAGTTACTTGGGAGACTTAGGGAGGAGAATCTGTTGACCCCGGAGGGGAGGCTGAGGTGAGGTGAGATGGCACCATTGCACTGCAGCCTGAATGACAAGATTGAAACTCCATTTCAAAAAAAAAAAAAAAAATACATTTTTTGGGTGATGGTACTGAGCAGAAAACAGCCTGGGAAATCACTCATAGGTTGTTTTCTGAGGTCCTGGCAGAAGACCTTGCTTTTGGCGGTGCATCAGTAGGCAACCTTCAGCCTGCCCCTGCCCCATTTCCCCAGGACCCTTGCTCAGGCTTTGCCCTCGGTGTCCTGAGGAAGTCCAGGTAAGCTGCCTTGGTCAGAGAAGGAAGTATCTCCGACCAGCTTAGCAGTGCTTCTCCCGTTGGCTCTTCTCCTTTCCACCGCCTTTCGGCCACCCTGTCCTGACTCTGCTCACAGCCTGAGGGGAAAAACGGAAGAGATGCCGGGGCTTAAAGACACCAAAGACCCCCCCACCTCAGGCCTGGGACAACCTCTTCTTCCTGCTACCTGAACCCTCTAAAAACAAGACATGGAGAATGTATCTCAGCCAACATTTTATACTCTTAGTATGGGAAGAGCTTCGACATGTTAATAAGGAAAGATAAATGACTTATGAGGACAAGGACAAGGGATTATAATGGAAATATAGAAACAATCAGTGAAACTGTGCAAGGGCACAGAGCGGAATGGACTGGCTGAAAGGGATGTAGAGGAGACAGTTTGCTGAGGATAGGAAGTTGCACACAGGTGTCTACAGTATGATGGTATTTTTGTCCAGAAAGAGGGCCAGCGGCGTAGTTGTACATGTAGCTGTGTTCCCTCAGCGCGGGATGGGGCCCGTGGCTCAGTCCCAAACCCTTCAGTTTGGTCTCTTCTGGGGGTAGGTGTGAGAAAGCAGGGAAGAGAGACCCTCTCTCCAACTTTAACACAAGAAACTGTGTGTGTGTGTGTGTGTGTGTGAAAGCATGGGTGGATTTTAGTTTATTTTTTTAAGTGTTTCTCTGTGCTTAAATAACAATGCTCTTGGCTGTGTGACAGAGGAAGAATGGATGGTGGAGATGGGGAGGGAACTCCCCAGCCATTCAGAGCAGTCCATGTCCAGAAGAAAAGTGGTGAGGGGCCCGCCTCCCCCTCCACAAAGCTTGATGCCGTACTTTGAGTGTGGAGGGGGAGGCTTGCTCTGGGCAGGGGCTGGGCTGGGAGTGCTGGTCATGTTCCTAGTCTGGCTGAGAGCCCATGAGCTGTGCAACATCCCCTCATGGATTCCAGGACTTCAGCACCGCGGACAGGGACGTTTCCAGAAGTGGCTCACAGCCCAGGAAGCAGAAGCACTAGGAGATCCCAGAGGCCTCTGGACCTGAGGAGGTGGAGGGTGGGGCAGTGAGCTGGGGGCTCAGGGCTGGGCACACAGTGAGCTCTGAATGCACCTTAGCAAGTGCAGGAGAAGCGCAGGAGCAAGGCGGCCAGGTGCCCTGCTGAAGAGTCTCCCCAGGTGCAGGCCACAGGCTGTGAGCCTCACAGCCCCTTCCTCCTTCCCGGCTGACTGGGCTGCTCTCAGAGGGTTACCAGGACAGAGGAAGCGTGGGTGGGGCTGCACCCTCACTCCGGCCACCTACCCTCTGGCAGGAGGGGGCGGGAATGAGAGAAATGTTCTGGCACCTGCACCTGCATGGGGAACAGCCTATTTTGCTAGTTTGTTCTGCTGGGTTTTGCTTTGGTGTAGAGTTTTTTTTTAACTGGGTTCAATCAGGGAGGTTTCAAAGGAGGGCGGTAATGCTAGGACTCCCTGAGAGGACCCCTGGATGCCCCTGTCTCCTCCCCAGCTCCTGAGCCAGTGCCTGCAGGCCTGGCACCTTCCAGGGCAGGGGCTGGTTTATGCCTTCTCTGGAGCAGGCCCACCTCAGCTTCCCCGCCTGCAGGGAACTCCCTGCAGTTCTCCCTCCCCAACCTGACGCAGCTGCAGAGAGGTCCTTGGTGTGAGACAGGAAAAAACACCCACGGCTGGCAGATTCAGGAACAGAGAGAATCCAGGCACACACGGGCTGCCGCCCACTCAGACTTTATTCAAAGACCAGGAAGGGCCGGTGCAGGGAGGGAAGGAGGGCCTGGCCCGAGGCCCAGAGGGCAGGAGGAACGGCGACGGAGGCTCCAGCTTAACGGTATTTGGAGGTCAGCACGGTGCTCACGGAAGCCAGGAACTTGTCCAGGGAGGCGTGCACCGCAGGGGTGAAGTCGGC